GGTCAGTGAGGCAGCAGGTCGTGGTACCACTGCTCACGGGCTCCCACTCTGCCACTGCCACACGGTAGGTTGGGACAGGGACAGGGACAGGGACGGTGAGCACACGGCTCCCACGGTCCTCCTGTCCCGCTGGGGTGAGAGTGGAGTCCCTGCTCCCTCCACGTGGAGCTGCCCCAGCTCCTTGCACGGCTGGAACGGGGCCAGGACGGGGTCAGGATGGGGCCGTGGCGGTGCGTGCGCAGCCTGCGCGGTGCCGGAGGGCTGCAGGCAGCGGCCTCAAGGTGGCACGCTGGGAATGGGAACCGCGCCGCAGAACAAAGGCGGCTGCGTGCAGCCCAGCCTGCAGCTCATCCTGCAGGCCTGGCCTGCAGCTCACCCTGCAGCTCACCTTGCACCTCAACCCGCAGCTCACCCTGCAGTTCGCCCTGCAGCCCCGGCCCGGCCCCAGCTGCGGACTCAGCTCCTGCTCTGGGCAGGAACACGGTGCAGTGCTGATGGCCAAACCCTGCGGTGTCCGGATGGTGTCATCACAGATGAACGGCATGAAAAGGAGCACCCCGTGAATGAGGAATTGGGTGCTTTCCTGCTGGCACCGGCGTTAGTCCCACATCCTTCCTGTGCTCACATCGGTGTGACGCGCTGGCTGCTGGTAGGGATGTGGGTGCACCCTCAGGCAGAGGTGGCACAGCTCCATGCGGAGCTCCTGATCCGTCTGCGCCATGGTCACAAAGTTTTGCCCTTCTTGTTCTTGCCATCCCGCCTGCAGCCGCATGCTCTGTGCCGGCTGTGTGCCCGCTGTGCGCCAGGGCCGTCCTGCAATTAGTGCATGCTGGGGGGAGCTGCTCAGTGCTGTTGCCTTGACATTGAGACCTAAATTTGCCGTAAAGCCAAATGGATACGCACACCCACATTTCTGAGGCTTTTAGTTCAGCAACAAGTGAATCCATCAAAGCCCAGCACCTAATTTAATAGCAATAATGAAAGGTGTGCGTCACTATTAATTTAAGCACTCCAACATTAGCCTTGCACTTAGAAACCAGCAAGACAGAGCTATTTACAAATGAATGTACCGGGGCAATAAATTGAAAGTACTGGTTTGACCTGCAGTGGCTGCTTTTTTCATTTATACACAGATACATTTCTATAGATGAATTTACTCCCATCTCTTTAGCTAGGCCTCCCTAATTAAGTTGAAGTGGCAGTGGAAGTGTGGCAGTAAGTGTGGAAAGAAGCGGCTAAAAATGTATTTAATTCATTATAAATAATCTTTGATACCAGAAGGTTGGATAAAGGTTTGCAGTATCAGAGCAGGCTGCCGGGGAGGCCAAGGAGATTGCTTGTGAGCAGCAAAAGCATTTGCATCGCTGGGTTTGACCTCCTCACACCGAGGGAAGGAGCTGCGGATGGAAGGGGGGCTGCTGGCACCAGAGCTGGCAGTGGGACGGGTGGGAGCCACGGTGCGGGGGGGGCCGCAGTGCGGGGTGCCGACTCTGTGCTGCGTGTGCCCCCGGGATGATAACGTATGTTAAGAGGAAGGTGTATGTCACCCACATTAAAGGAGTTTAATGCGCTCGGAGTCACATTATTGTACCCTTGTAGAATACATTATCTGTCATGCTGCCTTTACAGGCTGTCACCTCGCAGAAAGGCTACAGTGTTCCTGGAAACCATTATCAGACTCTGATGATATGATCAAAATTGGAGCGAGCTGCACGGTGGGGCTCTGTGCGCCGCACTGCAGCATTGCGGGATGGGGCTGCCAGGACCGGCAGGTCAGGGTTGGGGATGGGGGCACATCACCACGGGACCCTCGGGCAGGGCAGCGGCTGTGCGCCCTGTGGGCAGAGCTCAGCTCTGAGGCCGGGTTGGGGCCCTGCTGCCATGCCCTGGCTGGCTCAGCACCGCTCAGTGCAGCACCGACCTGAACGTGCTGGGAACCAGCGAGCATCAGCCTCTAAATACTGCTCTTCCTTTTCCTGTCAGGTGAAATTAAAAAAAAAGAAGCCTGCTTTTTTTGGAGTGTAATCTTCCGCCTGCGACAAGAAGACGCGTAAACTGATAAATTGCAGATTAAACGAGTGCCACACTCCACTCCAGTCCCCGGCTGTTAATTCCCCTGTTGTGCAATTCCCCGCTTTCAGGGCCTGTCAATTCCACCTAATCGCAGGAGGCACTAAAACACCCTGCCCTGACAGCACGGGCCGCCAGCCCCCCGCTCCTCACTCAGGTGGATTGCATGCATCACTTATGCACAAATCAGCAATATGCCAGCGGGGAGGAATTATGTCGGATGACAGCCCCGACACGCGGTGCAGATTGCAGAGCACGTGGCCGCGGCCGCCGTGACAGATTGCGGTGCACGGCTGCGCTGGTGCGGGAGCGGCTCCGCGACACAACTGGCCCTTCTGTGCCACACCGGGTGCAGTGCCTCACGTGTGGGCAGCGCCCGGCCTGAGAGCACAGGTCAGCAGGTTTGCGGCCATCCTGCTGTCCATAGGGCCGTCCTGCTGCTTGTAGGTGCGCGGGGCAGAGCCCATTGCGGGTGCAGGAGGTGCTGGCCCCTCTCTGGCCGTGTGCTGGGGGGGGCCCTGCGTGCCCCAACTGACCATCCATGCTTTAGCATCTAGCTTGCCTCAATCTGTGATCCTGAAAAGCTTAAATTGATGATAGCCTTGCAGTTGCTCATTAATAATTGCTTCATTACTGTATGCGATTGCATACTTCTGACAATAATGGTGTTTGCTGGTGCCAGCATTTCAGTTCCCTCACTGAGCCCCAGACTCCTTGGTGTGAAGCTCCCTCAGAGGCAGCGCATCCCTGCCCGGTGTCAGTACTGCTCCCACAGGGATCGGTGTCACTGCACTGGGGCGGCTGCTGCCAACCTTATGTACCTGCTTCCCTCTGTGCTCTGCAGGCATGAGGCCTCAGCCCCCCAGGGCCGGGACCCCACACTGCTCCCCACCCTGGCTCTGTTCCTCAGGACCCGGGGCGGCTTCCTGAGCTGTTGGCTCGCGCTGGGCACACCAGGCACCGCTCAGTGCCGTGGCACAGTGGCAGAGGCTGACCCTGCATTCCCACCCGGGGCGTTAAAAATCTGCTGCAACATGTCAGAAAAATGAATAAATGAGCGCATTATTTTTTCATTTTGGAGCTCAGCATCTGTTTGTCTAATCAAGAAAGAGAACTGGGAAAGTCAACCAGGGCTGACGCACACATTTTATTTAACTTTTCCTCTGTCAAAGGAGTTTAAATGTGTAATGAACAGGCCATGGTGATTTGAAATATAATCCCATTACTCTGATGAGATTACCGAGGCTGTGAGAGTTCACAAATCATACTTAGGGTTTTTAGAGCCAACAACACCCCGCTGAGGTTTTTTCCCCTCTTTTGCATTGACGCAGAGGTGCGTGGCACCGCACAGCCACGGTGCACGGCCCTGCCCCCTGTGCCTGCTGCTGGCCCAGCTCTGAGCAGTGGGGCCGCAGTGCAGCCCCCCGCAGCCCCGCACCGGCGCCCCCGGCCTCGCCCATCCCCGCACCGCGATGGCCGCCCCGGGATGTGATTTAAGGAGCATTAATTTTAGCAGCAGTGGCGCCCAACACCACTGCCGCCACGGCAGCGCATTTCTGTGAAATTCATGGGCCCATTACAAACATGTCTCCATAAATAACTCCCCCCATTAATCTCAGGGCTGCACCCAGGGCGGCGTGATGGCTTCTGCCCGCTCGTCCCCATTGCTGGGTGGGAGCAGCGCGGCCCATGCAGAGCCCAGCCCTGGCCACGCTGCCAATGGATGTCCTCCGGCCCGCAGAGATCTCTGCTCCATCTCTCCTGGCAAACCCCACCAGAGCCCTTGGGGAGCTGCACACCTGCCTGGAGCACATCACTGTCGCTGTGTGGCCCAAGCAGCCCTGCACCAACCATGGGTGCACAGGGCCCATTCCCAGCGCACGGCCTTTCTGCATCTGCGGAACTTAGGGCTCCTGGAATGGCTGGAAGGAAGGGCAGCTGAAGAGCCTTCCATTTTTATCTAATTTGAAAGTAGTTACAGAAATGTATCATTCCAGTTTGAAATAGAGGCTTAATTGTCTGCATTAGGTGAAGAGGCTTCTGGCATAAAGCAGATTTTGCACATGCATTGCTTGAAGTAACCTCTGGCCACACTGCTCAGCCCAGGGCTGTGCCAGCACAACACAGATGTTGCAGCACTGCAGCTTGAGAGCTGCCCCGTTCCTTTGCGTATCTCCTGGAGCAGTGCTCAGCCTCTGCAGGAGCCTCCCGGGGTCCCGCACTGCCGCAGGTAGGGCTGCAGTGCACAGGAGAGCAGGGCCTCTTCACAGGAAGATGTAGACAACCTCCAACAGAGACTGATGCACTTCAGGGAGAAATATCCCTGCTTGGCAGCCAGCAGCCACCCTCTCTGCTGAAGCCCAGTAATACGGCATGGAAGGAACAGCTTGCTTCCCTGACCCAGTTGAATGCCCATCTGAATCAATTAAATCTACAACTACCGGGAAAGACCAGCCGGGATGGCTCTGCGCTCAGCTGCGCACAGATTGCAGCCAGGAGCCCCGCTTTGACTTTGCAGCAAGCACCAAGCAGTGGAAATGTGTTCTCTGCACCGTGTGTTCTGATCTGGATTTTGAAGGAAAATTCATTTAAGTGTGATCGAGCGCCTTGGAGCAAGCAGACTCAGCCTCGGCCCCCTGTGTGCACCCCGACCCCAGCTGGTGCTGTGCTCAGGGGCGGGCAGTGCAGGTATGGAGCAGCACAGCCGGGCAGGGGAGCGCACCCACCTGCACTGCGGCACCGCCACGTGGGGAGGGCTTTTATTGTGTCCTTCCTGTCACTGAAAGGAAAACACTGCACCTACCAAATATCTGAGAACAAGTAAATGTGGCAACAGCGTTATGGCCACAGAAGTTGGAGATGGACGTCGTTCCCAACACCGAAGTAGGGAACATTTTCATTTAAAAAGAACTGAAACTGGGTGGCAAAAGCACATTCACATAACAACTTTAATGTTAAATAGTTCACAAAGCTGAATAAAGGAATAATTTACATTGCATTATTGGAAAGGTCTTCCTCCATTGCATCTGTGCTGCAATTGTGCGTACAAAATACTTAAAAATGCAATATTGTACTATAAAATATGTTTTCTCCTGTTTATCCTTTGCAAATAGGAACTGTGGAAGACTGCACAGAGACCACGCAGCCCCGGGGGGCGGCACTCATGTGCTTCCAAAACAGAGTCTTTTAAAACAGAGAACTTAAATGTACCAGACAGCTGTCACAGAGCCCTGCTGCCTTCCCGCTATCCACACACTGCACGTTAAGGCTCAGAGCGTTTTTTGTACAAAAGTAAGGTAGGACACACACTGCTGGAGGTGGTGCTGCAGTACAGCTGGGGGAGCACAGAGCCTGTGTAGCTCCACACAGCCCCACAGTCCCACACAGCCCCACAGTCCCACACAGCCCCACAGTCCCACACAGCCCGTGCTGCCGGGCTCTGAGCAGCTCGCAGGGCTGTGGGTACAGCACGGTACAAACCCACGGCCGCAGCACAGGGCTCCAGCATCAGCAGCTTAGAGAGATTTGTGAAAGACACCTCTGGTGAGCGGAACCAAAACGCAGCTCTGGTTCCCTGAAATCCCATTCACGTGTTCCCTGATATGTTAAAGACAGACAAGGCCAGCACAGTCTCAAGTCCCAGTACAAAGCAGGTCTCTGTTTTTATTCCTAGAGAACAACAGTAAGGAGGAGGGGCACCCCCAGCACCAGGTGCCAGCCCGGCCTCAGCGCTGGGCCGTGCTCTCCTCAGGCTGCAGATGCTGCCTTGGTGCTGGCTGCAGGAAGTGCCTTCCACAGAGGGGATGCAAAGCTGAGGAGCAGTTACAGAAACCTGTTTTGAAAAGAACGAAGCAGAAGAGACCTGAACTGCCTCAGCGCTCCCCCACCAGTCGCTCTGCCACGGCTGCTGCTCCTGGCTCACAGTTGCCTCCTGCACGTCAGCAACAGAAGCGTAACCATCTGGGACTGCAGCCTCCCCCCAAAAGAACTGTGCATCAGATGGACCTTGAAAAAGATTACATCTGTTTATTAATAGTAAAAATGGATACATTTGTCCTACATTTTGTTTTTAGAAATTTGATCATGTCACAAGCAATACCTGCGTGTACGTGGGTGTATTACAGATGTATATAATTTATTTTAACCAGGCTGTGAAATAATATGTAATCACATCTCTTCTTGTGATTGTACATAATACAGTAATTAAATGATGCCAGTCTACGTCATTCTCTTATTTCTAATCAAAGGAACCTGAAGCGTAACAGTCTTCTTTCCGGCTGATATGGCTCTTTATTTGTGTCGCAGGGGAGACCTCCCCTCGCCAAGAGGGATCATCTTACAGCCACCAGACATGGGGTCCTGCCGATGCCCTCCCCGGCCGCTCCTGCCATCAGCAGCTGGAGCTCCGCCGCTCTGCCCCGGCCACCGGCAGCCCCCGCCCCGAACACGGCGGTCAGGCTCTGTTGAGGCCCGGTGCTACTGCTGTCCCGATTTCTTCTCCTTCTGGAAGCTAAAGCTTGTTCTCCTGTTCAGTTTTCTTTGTTTCTGAGCAAAATATTCTGCTCTGGCTGTACTTGCTCGCGATTCCAGAATATAGTTAACCTGCAAGACACGGGAGGATTTCACTGCAGTGGTGCTTTGGCATGCAGCCCTGGGAGGGCACGGACCCCCGCACCTCCGACAGGGCGACAGGAAAAGGGTAAAACCACAGCAGGGGCCGTCCTCCATGTGGGCCATCCCCGGCTCTGCCCCCATCCCAGCATCTGGGCAGGAGGAGCCGAGCAGCTCTGTCCCCCAGCACAGCTCGTCCTGCGGCCGCTGTGCTGCTCTGAGTGGTAATGGGCTTCAATAAAAGATTTTATCAGCTTTAATAAAAATAATACCTCCATTATGATGTTTGCATACTCAGCTAATCTCAGAGTTTCCCTGTGTTTTGGCACATTTTACTTGATGAAAGCATTTTTAAATGATATTTAACAAGCCTGCTATTCCCTAAATTTATTATCTCCAGTGCTTTGTGATAATCACATAGATAATTTTAATGGAAGGTTAATGCAAGAATCAAAAAGATAAAAATGCCCTTTGGTCCGCCATTAGCTGGTTAATATGCTGTGGCTTAAAACTTGCACGATTTTATGCACTGTAGAGTGTTTCACTTTCATTGCATATTACAGCTTAAGGCGTAGAAATATAGGGAGTTTTCATGGTCAATAAAGCCTCGGTGTCTTGCACTTGATCATGTAAAAAGCCTAATTTGAAAAGTCAGATTTCTCTATATCTCTTAATGCTGATGGAATTGAAAATAAACTGGTAACTTACACAAAAACTTGGAAGTGTTTTGTATAAACAATTTGCAAGGTAAGAAAAAAAGTACTGTTTGGTAATTTTTCTCCCCTGAATATTCTTGTTCCTCAAAGCAAAACTTTCTTCAGCCTTCTTGTGTGAGCAGCCTGGCTCTGCCAAGTGCTCCGGAGACTCCGCAGATGAAGTGGGAGCAGAAGAACCTGCTGGACTAAGAGCCAAGGAAGAAGGCAGCACGCATTCAGCTGCCAAAACAGCACTGCAGCAGGTCGGTCATTCAGCAGTCCTGTGGACTTCACACAGCAAAGCAAACGTAACGGGTGGATTCCTAAAATGACTGGTTTTTTAAATTTTGAATTGATATAAGATACTAGGTTGCAGAAAATTAAGTTTAATCTTCCGATTTGCTTCAGGAAGTAGATCAATACGTACATCAATGAGCTGTGGGAAAAGCAAGCAATTCTGGGCAAGTGCCCGGGGGGGAAGCAGTCCTACTGCTGCACTCAGCACTGCCCCAGCCCAGCTCTGCTCTGCTTGAGCTGCACCGAGCCCTGTGTGTTCCATGTGTGCCCTGTGGTCCCTGCAGTGTCAATTCCTGACCGAAACCCAGCCCAGGGAGTGTGGCAGCAAACTGGGAGCTGAAGCAACCAAGTGCTCCACAGGTGCTGCGCCGTGCCCGTATTTCAGATCCTCCTGAGGACTTCCATGTCTAACAAGTGGTACAACAAGAATTTTGGGTCACATTAAAATTTAATACTCACCTTCAGTACAATTTCATTGACAGTAGCAGCATCTGATTCAAAGTACAGGTGTTTGTAGTCGTGATTGCTTAGATATGTAAGTTTAAATATTGCATGACCTGCGAAGATAAGAAAAAAGGTTCAGAATATTTCTCTAAAGTTTTCTGCCGAGCTGTGTGCCTGACAGAAGCAAAACACAGATGGTGATCTTAGCATACCATCAGCACAACAGAAGGGAGCAATGAAACGCTGACAGGCTTCTCGTGTCATTTCAATTTAAGGCAAGTGGTGGCTTACAGGAGCAGCTGAACTCTTTCAATAAAGTTCATTTTCCCATCACATCCCTGCTGCAGGAAATGCAAAGATCTATCAGATGGTCAGTTAGCTCACAGCCAGCCCACACCGGAGCGCTCGCACCGCCACGCCGCAGCAGCTCACCTGTGATTTGCAGGGCAACCATCGCACATAGAAGTGCTATATTTAAGATAAAAGGCCAATTAATCCCGGAATTATCATAAAATCTCCTCCTCAGAATAATGCCCAAACCTACTCTGTTGCTAAGGCAAAGGAAAATGTCACTGTAAAATACAAAGGAATGTAGCAACGGTACGAGGAAACCAGGCTCCTCTCCCTGCAAGCATAACAATCAAAAACTAACACAGAACCACAGTTTTTATCTGCGAGGTGCTCTGCTGGCAAGCTTCCCTGCTGCTCAGACCCCAGCAGAGGGTGGCAGTGACCGCTGACCCCAAGGTGACAGAGCTGGGGCTGCCGTGGGCAGCGGTGCCGGAGCAGCTGCAGGGCTGGGTGTGTGGTGTTGTGAGCAGGCTGGGCGTGCAGTGCTGCTGAGGGCAGCCCCTGCATCATGGGTGGAGGGAATGATGGGCGGCGTGCTGACCGCCCGCTTCTCAGCCACACATCACAGGGGGAGGTGGGGCATGGAGCCACAGAGTGAGAGATAAACACAAAAATTAAGGGAGACCATAGCTTTCGTCATGGCCAACGAAGGAACCCTCCCAGGATCCCCATCTTTCCTTTAAAGCAGTGATTTACTCCTCCTTTCTGGCAGAAGCAGTTATGCAGCTGACAGAGGCAGAACACAGAAGTTCATTTCCAACACTTGTTTTAGGATTGCATCGAGTCAGCTGTTTTGAAGACAATTAGAGCTACAGATGCCAATACCAATTCTGCTGCATCCCATGGCACGAGGCAGAGCTCACTCTGCTGCAATCCCTCCGGCAGCCTGGAGACAACCCTTGCCAGGGCAGCATCCCTGTGTCCCAACATCCCTGTGTCCCTGCCCAGGACAGCAGCTGCTCAGCCCCAGCCCCTGAGTTGGACTGCCCCGCAGTGCCCCAGCATGGAGCAGGACGAGCCCTGCACATGGCAGGTGATGTAGTAGAAAGAGGCTAAATAGACTTTTCTTTAGAAACTCCATTACAATATTATGTTTATGTGCTCCCACGTCCGCATCACACTATTTACAGCATGAAATATTAGTTCATTGAAATCATAACTGGCACTTTGCTCTGCTACTGTTCCAGCCAGATGGAATTTATGAATTGTGAGATTGATTTCCATTTCCAAGAGTGCTTAAATGTGTGATGTACCACTTTCCAATAGAGCACCACCTCTGACAATTCTGAGATCAATAGGAACTTCAATGGTTTTATATTTCCATACAAAAATATCTGGCAGCAAACGGCAGCAGCTGGATTCTACCATACATGATGGCAGAGTTAAAACAAATGCAGATCTTGTACCAACAACATCACCACAATGACTCCTGCACGATCAGTGTGCCCTCAGTCTGTGTTTGGAACACAGCCGTTCAGCTCCAGCAGCTGTCTGTCACCAGGAGCACAGACAGGTTACACATGTCACCTGTGCTGGGCTGAAGGCAGAAGGGGACCGAACAGGGACATTTTAGTACCTTGCAATCAGATTTTACTGGCTGCATGGTGGAAAATATGGATTATTTTAAACTGTATTTATCTGCTAAAACATTTAAGGAAAGAAACTGAGGTTTTCAGACACTGGCAGGCACGCAGCAGGAGCACTGCAGGTAACTGCGCTGGGGATGCGCAGCTGGCGGGACGGGCAGCACGGCCACCAGCACCTCCTCTGCTCATGGCTGCACCCCGATTTTCCTGATGACATTCAGGGAAGTGGTGCTCATCCCAGCTGCACATCACCCCCCAGACTCATTGATTTTGTGTCAATATGAGACCAATGAGAAATTCTGCTGCAATCTGTATCTTGAACATTCAGGAATAGTTTGTATTCTACCTCTTCATCACCCCCAAATTCAGAGGGTACCAAAAGCCCCTATCCTTACTGCCAATCTTTAAAGCAGTGTGCACTGAATTAAATCACTAGTTAGATGAAGGATGAAAAGAATATTCATGAATAGAACAAAACAGAAAACAAACACGAGGAAATGCAAATTTATGTTAATTTTTCAATATACCTTGATGATTGTTTTGTCATTATGGGGCCATAAGGCCTAAGTCAACAATTAAGAGTTATTAGTGGAATAAGCAGTGACAGAAAGACCTCTCTGAAGAACAGAATGCTTACACGCATCATTCAACAAGATGACCATTCTCACCATTCCAGAAATGGTGACCACAACAGGATCAAGCCCCTGAATCCCGCAGACTCAGAAGGGTTTACAAGGACTTTAAAATGAACAGATAAATAAGCAAGGAATAATGAAAGCAAAATGCATGCAAGCAGCGTTTCTGAACAATGCTGCTGTATCTCATCTAAAAGCTTTGAGGAGGAACTCTGCTGTTTTAAATCCACGCTGCTGCCTCAAAAAACAATGCTGTGAGTGAGAAAGTCAAAAAAAAGCACGTGTTGCACGATCACCAAATCACCAGTCTCGGCATGGCTGAACAAGGAAACTCGCGGGTCCCTTGCGGGGGATGTCAGCTGCCCACAGCCACTGCGGGGCTGCTGGGACACGGTGCAGCCCTGGCAGCAGTGGAGGCAGGCCTGGACTGGGCCTACCTGGTGGGAGCCATGCTCAGCCGGGCTGGGGGCCTCCTCCACAGACTGACTGCAGTCACTACGGATGAAACCCTGACCCCCCCACCGCCGGTGGGAAGGACAGACGCACACGGCGCACCTGATGCTCCCCCCCAGAACACTGCTGCTGCGGGAACAAACAACACCAATGTTCAGAGCAGAATGCTGCAGCCCCGCCGCCCCCCATGAACACTCTTCCCACAGCTCAGGTCTTTATGTTCTGCTATGGGCTTCCTACAAAGCATTGCTATTAGTGGATGCCTTGTTTCCAGATGTCCATAAAGAGCCCACTTCTATGTCAAGTTACGGTAATGATTCACACATCTGGATTTTTTTTCCAAAGCCCTTTGTTTTTTCATTGAATTTTTACTAAAGGCAGAATAAAGATTTTTTTTGCAAGAATGCACTGAAAATCAGGAGGGGAAATTAGGGTTGCCCCAAACCTCTCACCAGCAACCTTGTTTTGGAAAAAAGATGATAAATAAATCAAAATGCACTAAGCAGTGTTTCCACATGGCAATCGCCTCCTTCATTGCGTCTGCACCTCATCAATCACACTATTGTCTGCTTGAAAGGCGAGCCTTGTAAATGTCATATCCACTCAAGCCCAAGGAGAAGCGAATCAAAATGCAGCAAGGAGTTTTAATTGGATAGTGTAATTAAACTAAAAAACCCCAGCAGAATAGCTTTGACAGAATAGATGAAGACCCCTTTTAATAGGGCTACAAAACATATTTGTTAAAAGGATGAGGCAATGCACGCTCCTGATTGTGCTCCAGAGGACTTTAATGCAGGCTGCTCAGCAGCAGTGCACTCAGTGGGCTGCAGCCACATGTGGGGCCAGGAGCACCTCGTCCTGCCTGCCCTGCCCTGCCTGCCCATCCTCCCTGCCCTGCTGTGTCTCTCCAGCCAAGGGCTGCAGGGCTCCAACACCTCCGACCTTTGCCAGCCCCGCGATGGCCGCAATGACCTGTGTGCAGTCCAGAGCTGTGACAGAGGTGGGAAGTTCAATGAGACCGAGTGCCATATGCACATCGCTTTCTTCCCTCTGAGGCATTTTGCTGCTCTGCAAACCACGGGTCTGCATGCATTTGGACTCACATCTTTCTGATGCACACTTTGAGGTTTCTTTCACTCTGAGACTGAAGTATCGGTAATATTTTCTCTGCTGCATCTATTTTTTACCCTTTGAGCAGAATAGTGATTAGGTTTCCATCATGTATGATTTTTCCTCTATTATTTCAGAGACTGCATTACTCACAGCAGGAGCATTAATATCAGGAACTACCACGCAGTATTTTGTGCACCATTTGCACAGTGCCTGGGTAATTGCTGCTTCTTTGCTCTGGCCCCACTGCAGGGCCTTGAACAACCATGCAACATCCTTATTGGAGATCCCCAAGCAGTGGGAACCCAGTCCTCCCCATGTGCTCTGTGCGTTTTTGTCCTTTCACAACCCCATAATGAATTCATTAAAATAGTACTACCCAACATGCATAATCTGGAGGAACTTGATACTGAATTAAAACATCAAATACCTTTAGCTTTAAATGAAAACTACATAAAAGCATTTCAGCCATCACTTTGGCTATCACTTACAGCCAGTATGAATACTGCTAGAAAAGCTATTTTCGTGCAGATGTGGAATTCAATGGGAAAGACTGACTTGTGTAGCAACATCAATCAAAACGTCGGCTCTGCTGGCAGCTCTCGACAGTAAGGTGGGTTCAGAGGTCACGGGATAAAGAAAAAGCCAAGCTCTGGTTCAGCTCCAATATCTCCTCACTGGAAGTCTTGCGACGGTGCCTGCCCCCTCTGTACCGGGTGGCTTTCATTAATCTTCTTGCCATCTTTTTTAACTAGTCATGCAGAACCGCTCGATAGCGAGACATATAATGGGGAGGCCCTGTGCCTATTACCAGGTTAACACTCTGTTAAGCCCCAGTGCAACAATGGAATAAGAATTTAAAGGAAATCTTAAGCTGCAGGGTGCAAAGAAGGCAATTAAATTACAAACCGAAGTTACCGATGTACTCCGTGACCTACAGAACACCTTTGTTTAGACTACCTTCATATTAAGGCTGTTTTGACCAAGTGCTTGAGACGTATCTGCTTTCCTAAGAGGAAAAACATACAAAGCAGAAGAAAAATGGTCACAGAGAACGTTTGTTCAGTGTTTCAAGTAAATTATCAAATAAATCCAATTTTGCAGCTGTCATAAAACACATAATGGAGAAAAAAATATTTATTTTGAACATGGTATGTCTGCCCAAGTGGTTGGTGTCAGTGCCACCGTTGGCCTGCTCCCAGCACTGCCCTGAGCGCTGCCCTGCGCCCAGCAATGCAGTGGTCACAGCACTGTGCACAGGGTGCTGAGTAGCAAAGGCAGTGGTTAGTGACACTGAAGTTTATCCTTTGTCCAAATAATGTAAGAGACATTAACAGAATCAGATTTCCTTTAAATTACACTATTGCAAAAGGATATAATTGTATTAAACGTATTATGTTGCTTCCTTAAGACTTTATATTATGTACACTTAATTGAGATACAAAGCTCTTTTCAGCTATAAAAATGACAACTACTTTATTAAGGTTTAAATCTTATTTCTCAATGATAGGATGCTTCCTTTCGAGATTCAAAACATTGAGAATCTCTCGTGATAATCAGACTGAACCTGATTTAAACGAGCAGTTTATACACAGTGTTTCCAGGTTCTAATGGCATTTGATCGAGCCAGCAGGGCCATTACCTCTTCTCTCTGTCTAAATTCAGGGAGTCTGATTTAATTTACAAATAAAAATTCAAATGCTAACCTGGGCTACTATGAGGGCAAACAAAAATCATCAGCCGTTCCTGCCTCTGATACCCACAGTAATGGCAAATTAGATACCAAAGCTTTCTGTTGTCATCTTCCGTTTTCACTGAGCGCAGCTCTGAGTTCTGCTAACTTACAGGAAAGGGAAGCTCTGCTCATACCAGAACGGCTTCCAGCCACCTGCAAACATTCACAGCACAGGATCTGGGTTGTCAGGGCCTTTAACACACAAGTGGCACTAAAGCACGGCTGTATGAACCTGTCATCACAGATAAAACTTCAGCTGAAAGTAAGCAAACCATTCGCACCACCTTTATATATAGTTTCTCTCTTTACATTTCCATAGAGAAGTACCAGTAAAAAACCCTGGCTCCCCTTTAGTCCACCGAAAGTAAGAGCTAGCTGGGTTCTACACTGCGTTAATTACCGACAGCAGAACAAACGGTGCACGGCCCTCAGTGAGCACAGGGAGCAGCACTGCCCGCAGCACAGCCCGCCGGGATCCGCACTGCTCACAGCTCAGTGCAGCCCAGCATCGTCCCACAGCCCCACAGCCCCGCAGCCCCGCAGCCCCGCAGCCCCGCAGCCCCGCAGCCCCACAGCCCCACAGCCTCGGCTGCTCACGGCTGGGGACAGAGGTGGTTTAAGAAGACATGCGCTGTGTTCTCTGTGGTGTAATCGCAGCAGCCCTGCTGTGTGTGCACAGCACTTCAGAAAGACGAAATGGAGCGTGTTTGTGTTACGGGAGATAAAAACATGGAAACAAAATATACTGCAGAACTCAAGCACCTTATCTTCACTCAGCCTCTCTTTCTTTGCAATAATTCATTCAAGGAAGATCCGGGAATAATTTTTGATGTAAACTCTGCTATAAACATATATCACTCCGCTGATAAAAATCACAGACAAAACTTGTGAAATACAGTGAGTTTCATTCCTTTATGCTACTAAAATAACTTTTTTCCATTTAAAATTCAAGAGATACTGATCTGCTGTTAAGAGTTCCCCCAAATGCATCATTCTGACATGTCACACTAAAAGTCTCTTCTGCTGACCTAAAATAATGGCTTTTGGAACATCTTTGGTGAATCTGGAAGAGGTCAGCGGATTTCAGGGGGGAATTATTTTCTCCTTTAGAAACCATGTTGAACATTTATTTAACATGAAAATCGTATGGATGGCTACATGAAAATGCGAAAATAAACATGCAGTATCTTTAAGGTTGCCTTTGACATAACTTGTCAGAACTCTCTCAAAACTGACCACGGTTCCTCATTTCAGGGTCTCCACTTAAAGGCACTCCATTCCAGCACTGCATTTCGTTAGGGTCACAATTCTGTCCCTTGTTTCCCCCTGGGTCAGCAGTTTGCTCCGTTTGGATCCAAGTGTCATCTGCAGAGGCACAGGCGCTGCCACCCAGCCCCATCCCACAAGGACACAGTCCTGGAGATGTTCAGAGACAGCTTGAAGGTCTCAGCTGAGGGTGCTAAAGGGAGTGTAAGCTGGAAACTTTGCCTTTCGGGGCTGGATTTTCAGATACAGCCCTACTTTGCTGGCATAATTTTATCACTACGAATATCTGCATCTGAAATGAAATGTGGCTACAAACCCAGAAGTGTTAATGTTCACAAGTGCAAACTACACCTTTAGCAACAAAACTGGTCTGACGTGCAGCTGAGCACTACATGGTTGGGTATTTAAAAGCACCACAGACTCTGCCACAGCCTTTGCAGACTGTCAGTTATCTGTTACAGAGACACGTTGGGTGCCATCTCTCAGAGCTCCACAAAGACAACTGCCACACACTTTGCCTGGTCATCAGGGACATCTCTCCCCAGGCTCACACCTTCCCAAGGACCATAAAAACTTGCTGGGAGACAGGAAAGAGAGACAGTGACTGGAGCAAGAGTATGGAATTAGGAAGGGGTAATGAAGGGGAGAAGGATATAGTTCAATAATTGCTGATAAAATCTGTGGCAGCTATAAATTTACTCTTCCAAAAGAATTCAACAGATCATTACCTCTGTAAATACGTATCACATAATTCTCTCTCTCTGTCACCTTGCAGATAAGTACTTAATATTTAGCATCTCTACCCTGCATAAGCCCAGGCGTAATAAAATCCTGCCATGTTTTTGAATCTGTTACTTTTTGACAGTGATAGTTACGTTTTGATGCCACCAGGAGACACTGTCCCGTTCTCCTAGGGCCTATCTTGTGCCCTTTACAATGAATTTTAGGAATACAGACTCTCATTACTCCATGCACACAGTAAGCACAGCTCCCTGGCTCTGCCCTGTGCCTGGTGACCCCTCCATACAGGAGCCTCCGGCCGCTGCCTGCGCCAACGCCTTCCTGAACCAAAGCTCTGCTGACCCTGCAGCCGCAATGGAAACAATTTCAGACTGTGATGACACTCACTGAAGTCTGAGATCCTCACGTGTCTGAGGAACTGTTCAAAGCCTTTCCAGATGTTAAGTTCAAAGATATCACAAAGATGTGGAGATGGGTATGTGGCTCCTGAGCTGAGCCTACCCAGCGGCTCCTTGGTGCGGCGCTGCCGGCGGCTACGGACAGCAGGCAGGAAACTTAACAACACTGGCCACAAACAGCATTAAAAGGACGCTCATAAAACGTGCATCTGTTTGCGTTATGTTCTCTACAACAGAATCAAGTCAGATTAAAAACATTCTATAATGAATAAAATACACCTATAAAAGGAAAGGACATGGCAGCAATAATTCTCTGGGCATCTAGCACGCAGAGAGAGGGAGAGGAGAGAGGACATAAATAAAAAGGACTACTCACTTGGGCTCTTTTCTTCCACAAGGTCACAGGCACAGAGGAGTTCGGAATCGATTGAAATGGGTTTCTGCTTAATCCAAAACTTAGTGCTGGCCTTCTGATTAGTAACAGGGTCTATCTCTACCTTGTCTCCAGAAATACCTGAGATGAGAAAGAATAGAGAGCCACAATAGTGATCTGTTTAAGTGATTTCATATCAGCCATTTGACACACTTTATAAATCTTAAATGGGATGAAAGTATATTGCCCTTCTGGGCTTTTTGAAAGCATGGGAGCTTTTGAAACCAAAAGCAAATGATTATCAAAGTGCATTGATAATCTGTATTTTATTCTCCTGCCTTGCTGGGAAATAGGCACACCAATGAGAAAAAAATATCACAGGAAAATTTCTTCTCAGCACACACAGAGCTCTTCTGGAAGCAGCAGCTACATGAACTGCAAGATGTATATGAAGATTCATATTTTCAGTCGTCACTATTATATGTGAGAGGCACCATCACACGTCACTATTACATCTCCTGGGCAGCACACATATGACATATTCTACACAAGGACAACACATGTTTTAGTATTAGAGAAGTGCTCTTTGTGGTAAACAGATACCCACAAACAAAGGCACCCAGCTCTGATGAGGCTGCAGTGAGCACAAACTGTGAGCCAGGAGCTCCTGGCCCCACACAGCCGCCCAGATGGCTGAGGCTGCGTTCCCACCGCACACACTGTGCGCCTCCACACACAGCATCCTGCTGCAGGTCTCTGGGGACCGAATGGAGAGCATACCTACACTATTACCCCCCTGCATGTCTCCTGAGCTCCTGCAAGCAGTGTTTGTGCAGTGGGATGTAACAGGGAGCTGCAGCCTGCCGGGGTGCTCATTGCATTGACTGCAGGGTCGTCGCGGCACTGCTGTGCTGTGCTGCTGGGCAGGAGCTCATTGTTCAGTGTCTGCTGATGGAATGGAGCAAACTTCTCAGTCTCTTGAAGTCACGGCTTCTAGGTGAAGCTCATGGTCAGGAGGAAAAAAGCAAGCAGCAGAGGATGAAGGGTAAATGAACTTTAGTTCACTCTTGCAACTTAGGAAAAATGACAGAGAGAACCTTCTCCTTTTAAAGTGCTTTGGCTACGATGCTTTTGAATACATTGCCTTTGCTTTGCCTGAAGCAGGAGAAAAAAAGAAGCTGACTATAAAACCTCTAAGAGGTGTGACCAAATAAGCATCGGATGCCACAGTCACAACTGTCTCAACCCTCAAAAACAAAGTCAATGTTTCTAAAAGCACAGTGACTGCCGCAGAATTTGCAAATCACCTTTGTCAGTACTTCATGCACCTAGAATGAAAGCACACATAGCAAGCAATGCGTGTTTGCAGCAGCCTTCTCACTGCTGTCCTTTCCACTGAACACAGGGTAACCTTCACTTTACCCCTGGCTGCTGAGACAGGTGGTAACAATGCCACCAACTCCCTCCCCACTTCTATTAATCCAAGAATGCACTTTGTCATTAAGCATACGTCACATCAAAGATATCACATTTCAATTAAGCACTGTATCAAGAGTCTAATTAACACAAGGACTGTTAGAACTACGCAATGGGAGCAGGCTGACGCTCTGTCTGGAGCCCACTTTGTTTTGCAATGTAATTTTGGACATATTAATTAAAATCAATTTTGTTATTTCACAGTAATCGATTATTCAAAATGGTATTTCCTGTATCTTAATCAAAACATGTGAAGTTGAGGACATAAAAAAAAAGTCAAGGCAAGTTCTAAAAATGTAAGATAAAATTCTTTGCATGCAATGGATGCTCCCCAGCCCGTCCTTTAGAAAAAGTCACTCCCGAAAATATCCTTTAAAAATTTCACAGCATGGTCCTGCAACTTCAGCATTCACAGTCAGTCAATATTGTTAACGTACCTTGTTAATTTGATAGGATTTGTCAGGTAACTCCACTGGAAAATTATATAAAACTGTTCCAGATGAACAGATGATAGTGACATGAATTAAAGTGATAGAACAATAGTGGAATATAAACCAGAAATGACACCCAAAGTGGCTGTTGATTTATTGCCATCCTGAGTTTGGTTCTGGGCTTCCATGTATATTAGTGCTACAAATCTGGGTCCATTTAGCAGAGAGATGCTCATACATACATCACCAGCTCCTGCTCCAAGCCAAGGTCACTCCCCATTGCATCAATCTTTTCAGCAGAGGCTACTTCACCAAGCACGGATTTTGTAACCGTCTCAGATGTAACAGACTTCCTCCTCTTTCATCTTTTTTTTATCATGTAAAATACACTTTAACTTCTATTATTTTTATCTGCAAATTGTTGCTGTATACTTCATCCATTATTTCTGTATCTCAACATCACTGGCTTAAGCTCACACACATCCAAAGAGCACATTGACAAAGAATGCTGTCTTTTTTGTGTTATTGTTCTTGCAATCTGTGTGTGTTGAAACCTAAAATCAAAACAGTATTATGTATGTGGCTTCTACAGTCTCTATTGCAGCACAAATTTACTATACTTAGAAAATAAGCAAAAATACCTCTTCTAGGATTTTTTAAAATTCGTTTAATTTAGCAAAAGAAATGTCACAGCTGCAGTACTGCAGTAACACTGCTCTGCTCTCACTCCCCTTGCTGGCTCTGCGATGCCCCCGCCCCACTGCAATGCTTTTTGGCAGCAGCTTTCCACGACAATGCGCTTCTTTTCATCTTGCTAACATGGTACACAGGCAAATTTGTCTTATGCCTTCACACCACAACTGCACCTTTCTAAAAATGTTGGGAGCACTACTGTACGTGCATTATAATCTACCATTAGCTGAGACACACAAACGTAGGCTTTAAGCTGCCGGGGCTCCGCTTCCAGCCGTAACAAAACCGCACTCCCGAGGTGCTCATTCCTCCCCTTTCCACTTGCATCTCTTTTTTTCTGCCAAGAAGAACCACGCAGAATGTAGAGATGACTGAGCTGACCCCCATATTTTCAGTAAATCTTGCATCAGATTCAGTGACCACTTTTCAGACAGCTAAAAACATTTCAAAAAGTACCACTGTGCAAACACCAATCCACAGACACAGCTCACACTTAGGCTACCTGCCCCATGCAAGTGAAATAAGGTACAGTATGGGATCTATTCCAATAAAACAAGTATTTGCATGTACTTATACGTTCTTTCACATTCAGTTGATGGAACTGGGGCTCTTCTCAAAGCCACACAGACGTTTCCATGCAGTCACCACACCACTTTTCAGCTAAGTGGGCACCCGTCCTGTGCTGCTGTTGGACCTATGCTCCATCAAACCACCAATGCTGCCAGTAAAGAGCAATGCTGTGGCTTCAGAATCTCCAGAAAAGCTGTCACTTTGCTGTGGCTGCACCATAAAACCAGTGACACATAAAAATGCTACAGAGAAAAGTCTTAGTAACTGACTGCTAACTGATCACTAAGCCAATGAAGAATTTCTCCATAACCATAGCCACTCATTAGAGATTAAAAGAGAATTAGGTTTTTTTTTTAATACTTCAGACTGCACGGAGCAGTCTGTTACTCGGAGATGATTAACACATTAGCACTCAGCATCGTTACAGCAAATAGCATCTCCGTGCTTGCTTTATCAGCAGTGCTCCTTTAACATTACAGAGACATTCAGTAGAAAAAAACCCAGCACTATGCAATTATTTTGACTTCATTTGGAGGCTTTGGCGCTGTTTGCCTGGACTGTGAACACCTCACTGAGCCCTCTTGGATTTTCAAACAATAATCACAATACAAAAATTCCACTGTCAGTGTGCTGTCATCAGAAAGCATAAATGTTCACAGACTGTTATGGAAGGGAAATGCTATGGTCCTTACTACAGAGCAGGATCAGCTCCCTCGCTACGAAACAAGATACACCACTTGTTTCATTTAACAGCTATTCTCCCTTACCCATTTATCTGCAGCTATCTGTTGTGAACTCTTCGGGCTCTCATTTCAGACGGCTTCCAGACACAGGGGGGGTCAAACTTCACTGGAAGCCAACTCTCACTCCCCAAGAGTTTGCTCAAAAGCAGAGAACACACCCAGTGCTGTCCTGCTCCAGCACCAGCCTATCAATCCTTCCTTAACAAGACAGCTCAAAACCACCAAGAAAACCTCTCCTGTACAAATTTTAGAGACATGCGTTTATAATGTGCTTAAGGATGCAAGAGCAAAGAGACTGTAAAGACGACAATACAGAGAATGCTAGCACTTACATTTAACAGTTCTACTGAATTCCCAAGAATAAATGTGCTTTGTAAACACCACAGCACCTGATATTTTACTGCCGAATCATTTCTTTATGGATGGTATTTGCAGGAATGTCACAGGTCACCCACCAGTCCATCATTAATCCAATTTCCACAATTTAAACACAAAGTTAAAAATCCATTCAATCATTTTAAAACAGTAATAGGGCTTTGATAATTCAAGATTCTGTCATCCCTTGGCCTTCAGGTTTTCAAAAGCATTCAGAAAGCGAAGAAGGACAACACACCTTTAGAGGATGCTAGCTGTATTTTGCTTCACTCCAAATTTTGACTTGGTGGTTAAAATCTTTCAGTTAAAAAAAAAAAAAAAAAAAAAAGACTAGCTGATGGATAATAAAAACACCAAATTATTTCCAATGGAAAGCATTTTTTTTTTTTTACTGCTGAAACACTAGCAACATTTTCAAGTGATGTGCTCCACAATAAAACTGACCAACGTGATAATGAATGCCTTAAAAATGTTGGAAATGGACAGTTAGCTACTAGATATGGCCAAAGGTTTCAACCATTCAATTTTCCACAGCACTTTAGTAGGGATTGATTTACCTAACTGAACATCAGTGGTGAATCGAAGCCTATGGATCATGCTGACTTTGAAGGACTTGTAGTGGTGGCTGCTGAGCATGTCCTGCACCGTGGCTATGTCGATCTGAGGGTCCTCCTCTGAGATCTCCTCTCCTCTCGAACCTGCAAAACAAGCCCACAGCGATGAACAGGAGGTTACAGGATGGCGCACAAACCGGCGGCACGTGGCTGCATGGGGGCACCTGCACTGACATCTGAACCAAGGGATTCCAAACCAATTCACTTAGGAAAGAAGAAAGTGCTCAGGGCCCACGGCAGTGGGAGGATCCTCTCATGCTCCACCCACAGACATGGCCACCAGCTCATCACAGCTGTTACAGCAGAAGTTCACATCCCAGTGCAGAGCAGTGCAATGTCCCAACATCAGCTCCTCGTGGGGCATGGGACCCCCAGCTCTGCCACGTGGGCTCTCCAGCACAGCACATGGGGAAGCAGCAGCTGAGCCCGGCCCCAGCGTGCTCAGTGCTTGGGCTCGTGTCAGCCACGGCCACGGGTGCCCAGACCTGCACGGTTCTCCTGGTTGCAGCACAGCACGGTGCGGTGCAATGTGGCCTCTGCACTGCTGGCACCGCCTCTGCCCCCAGCTCAGCTCACTGTACAGAAGCTTACTGTCAATTAGTATTCTTGTTACCACTGCAGGTATGGCTTTATAAAAGGTAACATCTCATTAAGCCAAAATACCAATTACTGAAAAAATACAACACATTTTAAGGATTTTTTTTGTTTTATGACATTGGATTAACACCAATTTAAACATTACTATAATGCAATACATAATTTTGCACAAAGTAATTTCTATGCCAGCTGCTAATAAAGCATCTCAGCTCTAAATGATCACTCCAATGCTGTTAGATAAAGCGGTAAAAATATATTTGAAAACTGATTTAGCTTCTTCAAGTAGATACTGAAGAATGACACGTTTTGTTCAATATCCCAGCTAATGCAGTCCTAAAAGCTGAACCAACTGCCAGTTCAGAGTACTAAATTTGCTGCAGGAGATTAATGAAAACTTTACATTTTGCTGAAATTTTAATAATGGGAAGATGAGATGCTGGACTTTCAGTACAGGCCTTAAAGCCACAGCACACCTGGGGGAACCCCTTGCCCATCTCTGCCCCCACCTTGCTGTCGTGCTGCTCCTCGGCCCCAACCTGGGCATTCCAGCACCCGGGAAGCAGAGAGTTCCGAGGTCTGGCCCTGACAACAAGGGCACCTACACTGGGAAGACAGCGGCTCGGGGGGAGCCCTGGCACAGGAGTCAATCCCTTGCACTGATTCCACAGCAGGCTCCTTGTAGCGGGGTAATTTCAGACCTACCCGCCATTTGTTTTAGCAAGAGCAACTGTCAGAGCAGTGGCTGTAAGCAGTACAGACGTAGGAGAGAGAAGGAAAAAACCACCAGGAATGGAGCTTTTTCCCAGCTTGCCAGGAGCGTTCCCTTCTCTATTTGTTAATTCAGTTACAAATGTCATTGCTTATGACAAATACCATTCATGTCTGCACTGAAATAAGATGAGCATTTACTGCTACATGAGTCAAAACACACGTTGAAAGCACAAGAAGATCCGCATTTCATTGTGTCAGTCCCACTGCCTCCATCCCACCCACAGCAGGGCTGAGACCACACTGCTCCCACAGCCCCGACCTGTGGTGTGGGGCAGAGGAGTTAAAGCTACACACTGGGCTGCGCCATTCGGCTTGAAAAAATTCCAAAAATCAAAGGAAATGGTCTACGTGCGAATTTATGCAGAGCCATCTTAACATCGCCACCACTCCATGCTCCAGAATGACAAGATAAATTGTAATGGCTCCTTCAGAGACATTACAATGTATTTTGTCAAAGACCCCTGTGTTAATGTCTCTATACTATGGATTATCATAATGTATCATGTCAAACTCTCATGTTGCAGTACTTCAAAGATACACTGAGATATGTCAAACTTTTTGGAGGCTCAGAAGCATCTTGCAGCAGGCTGATGGCAGGGCAGGGCTCAGGGAGCAACCTCCCACTCCTGGCCCAGTGTGGGGACGTCGTTAATGCTCTGCCATCATTAACACCTCCCTAACCAAACAGAAAGAACATACTAACCTCAGCCCTGCACCTCCCCTGCAGGAAAGCTCTGCCCGCTCCCACTGCTGCTGTGCTCCAGCCCCTGCCCGCCTGTAGCTACCACGGCCCGGCTGTTCTCACATGGCACACACCTCAATTAAAAGTATTAGAAAGAAAATTAGCAGCCTGCCAGGTCATAAGCAGGGGAAAAAAGCGCCGCCGTGACTGCAAACGTGAGCGTGCTGGTGTGTGATGCTGCAGCAGCGCGCTCTGCTGTGGCTGACGTGAGGGAACAGCAGGATTTTGCACTGGAAGCATTTCAGATCCTCTGCGCATCACATAACCTCTGCTGATTTTGTTTTATGAAGCTTTGTGAATGGGTTCAGGTTTACAGAATTCTACAGTTGCTGCTCTTGGGAGAGCAGCCAGAAACTCCACCATCAAAACAGATCATCTGTCTAAAGATGGCAAGACACCCGGACCCCTGAGGGTGCATTGGATAATAGCAGTAATATCGGTAACAACAGAGAGAAATGCCCTGCAGGGAAAAACCTGACTGCAGACTTGGCACGCTGCTCTCTCCCCGCAGCTCCGAGGATGTCTGTGAGACTGCCGGAATTCGGCGAGGGGAGAAGCGCCGTCTCCTCGCTGATTGGGGGAAAAATCGTAAAAATATTTTCCACATGCAAGCAGCTGTGAATAAACCTGTCAAATATTTACAGGCCTGTCAGGGTATTTGTAATGGAGATCGCACTGTGGCTTTTGAATGTAAAAGCTTCTGCTTGGGAAGACAATCAAGTAAAGTGGATGCTGGGGCCGGCGCTTCCCTGAGAGCTGCCCAGCGGCCGGCAGGGCACACAGCCCTGGCCCGGGCCAGAAACAAAGGCCTCTGATAACGGCTTGCAGAGAACACTGAGAGCTCTGCAGTTCTGCTAACAGTTTGCCTAATCAAGATTTAGATTGTGAAAGAAACTGCAAAAGAAGCTGGAGCTGTGTGCAGGACAGACAGGTGGGAGCCTGCAAAAAGTGCCAAGCGCTGCGGGCTGCTCACAATGCCTCCACAGGGTGCAGCAGTGGCAGAAGCGGGGCATGAGCTCAGCCACGAGCAGAGCAGGAATGAGCGGCCCAAAGGAAGCGCGAGCCGGGGCAGGGCCGTGTGGGGCAGCTGCCCAAGGCTGCGCGTCCCTACTGCTCCAACTTGAGGCTGAGTGGGGCCTGCAGCGCAGGGCTGCCGGGCCGCGGCCCACTGGGAGCTGCAGCAGCAGAAACACAGCACACTGTGGCACCGGAGGTGTGAGCCTGGAATGGACGCGTCTGAAAGCTGAAGCTGATCCAGCACGGACTCCTGGAAGAGCCAGGGGATGCCTAAAAGGGATGCATTTCTAACATCAGAACATAGAGCTGCTTAAAATATTTAAGAAAATCCCATTCAAGAGCAAGTGAACCTGTATTTCCTTGATGCAACAACAAAATATAAAGTTGACTGCACTGCAGAAATGTCCCCTTATTATTTTAATGTACTTGTCTATTGCTTAATGAAAGTTCTTAATTGTATTACAATTAATTACATACGCAGAGTCCCCGGTTACATTTTCCAATAAGACACAGCCTTTGGTACAGGTCTAAAGGCACTAAACCAATTTTAATATATTAAGGCCAATTTCCTTTGAATACTAATTACTATCTAATGATAAAATGAGAAAGAGGAACTTTCCAGAAGTAAGATGGTAAGAATAATACTAAATCAGCCATAAATACTTTGCCACTACACGTTTCATATTACAAAGTGCCAGCTTTTAGCTTAAAGATAAATCTTAGTGCAAGTTAAATAGTTCTAAATATTGGAAACACTTTAGTCTGAACGTCATTAGTAAAAGCTGGAGAGATACAGGATTTCTCCGTGTATATTTTTAATAATGGAAAGTTCTCTGTTTCATTTAATATCCTGAAATATAAACTTTCTATTTGCTCAAAGGAAACTGACAGCTAATTTACCAGCAGAGATTTGACATTTTACATATATATGTGCATACGTATTTATGAATGGATATGAGACTATGAAGAGTAGACTGAAAAAAATATGGTTAGTGTAACAGTTTTCTCCTAAGTAGCATATTGAAGCTAAAAATACTTTGAATAAAAACGAAATGCACAACGTGAACTAACATTTTGATGTTACTTAGAATTTTCAAGTCATTTGATTAATAGTGCAAAATTGGCACTATTTCTATTCAAACGCTGTACCAAAAGACAGCTCCTTAAGCACCACAGCATCCAATTTCTCAGTGCATTCAGGGAACTGGACTACAATGCATGAATTATGACTGATTTTATATACTGCATTGTCCTTGAACATCTGTTTGTGTAGAGTTCACTGCATGGCTGTTTCGCATATATCCCTGCGCAGGAACAATGGAAAATCACTTTAAATTCACCTACACTTTGGGGGAGAAACTCCTCCTGCATTCTTTATGGGAACGTGGTGTCAGTTCAGAGAGTGCCCAGTTACAGCATGGCAGAGAAGATACAGAGTGTGCGTAAGCAGTTGTTATTCTGCCTAGACTGCTGCCAGCCTTGAACAAACTCAAACAGCGACTTGTTTTTGAATGACAAAGTGGCCGCTCAGCCTTCCCTTTCAGCCAGGCACAAAATCCATGAGCGGGACCAAAGCCAGCACCTGCAGACAGGACGGCTCCAGGCAGCCCCTGTCCTGGCAGGGCTCTGCTGATCTGCCTAACATGGGCCTGGAGAGCTCATGAGTTAGCCGTGCTTTTGACTCTACAGCCTCAGGACCTCCCCACACGTTTCCTCAGCTCTGTTTTCCAACAGAAGCTCTCTCCCGTGTGCGTGCTGCCCCACTGAGAAGGGCAGCGTTCGCTGCAGGAGGGCTCCAGTCAGAGGTGAGAGCTCCCAGATGCCAGTTGGAGAGCAGCCCTCCGAGGCTCTGTGCGCCCTGCCAAGGCTGCAGGTTTGGGTGGAGGCAGGGTAGATGAGTGCCTCCTGCTAAGCAACTCACAGACTTCGGACAGACTGGTAAGTGAAGTAGCTCATGAGGGCTCAGAGCATCAGTATGAATGGCCTTACTGAATCTTACTGAATACTTACTGAATTCTCTTCTACAGATCACAAAAATAAGTTAAAAATGTAGTATAAATCTATTTTTAATTACAGGCCCTGCATACAAATATGTTATTTTTAATCAAAATACGCAAAACCTCCTGAAGTGTGACTACACAACTTTTCAAAGGCCAAAAATCGATACAAAATAATAGCTGGGTGCTGACGTTGGGAAATTCAGCCTTTGGGAGGGTGTGCTGGACCAGGGAGGCTATAATCGCTTCACTTCCTCACACACAGTGCGCAACTTCTCTGCCTCTTGCATCATCCTCTCTCACAGTTTCTTAGAACCATTTTATGAAGAAAGCAAGCAGGAGTGCCAAGAATATTTTGGCAGACAATGCTTAACCTCAGCTCAGCACTGATGTACCACTGCAGGGTTCGTTGCAGCCGTGCTGCAGCTTTGCTACTCCTTACACAGAAGCAGAGTCTTTGCTTGCCACTGGAGTTAGGAATTACTTTGGTGATGGTCTGCTGACTTTCTAGGACAAAATATGAAATGCTATAGCAGGAAAGCAGAAATGAAGGGGTCTCATCTTTGAAAGCAAGAAACTCTTCTCCTGCTTTTTGAAAATGGCTGTGATTATTCACAGTAAATACTCTGAACGCAGCCCTGACTGAGAACATAAATGCTGAAAGTTTCCTCATTGGTACAATCACAATTTTGACAACTAAAATAGAATGCAAAAGAACCAAAACTGAGGGCACAACAGTTGGAAAGGCTGAAGGATGGAGCAGTGTCTATGGAGGACAAACTCAAATCTATGCTAAATGTCTATTTTGTAAGTTTCACATAATTTCTTGTAAAGAAGTAAGTTAGGAAATGGTATTAGGATCATTACAACAGTAACAGAGCAAAAACATTTTAGCATAGGTGGGGAGGTGACTATTTGTCTAGCATTTTTAAAATCATCATACTGCTCGAGTTACAGCTTCATGGTCAATTTCTTCAAATTCTAATTTGTCACTGACTCCTACAGCATGTAGTCATGGCAAAGCACACTGCAGGCCAGCCACTTCATTCACAGAACAGTGTCTGCAACAGAAAAAGCTTCATGTTTCCAGTGTTTCTCAGGGTCGGTCATAACTTTACAAAGCAGAGTTTAACAAAAAAAGATTAATCATGAAGTAATAAACAGGATGCAGACTGTTTACTAAAAGGTATGAAATCCATCATTTCCCTTTGGAATATTCTTTTGGCATAACAGAGCAGTGCCTCAGGAAAGGGTCTCATCAGAACTTACTTGCCCAGACAGTACAGCTTGTATTCCAAAATACATAACTTATGTGAGATTAAGCAATTTACAAGAGCAAAAGTGAAAAGGGCAAACGTACTGTTCTCTCGGACAAGGCAGAATTCCAAAGTGCTCTGGCTCTCCAAGGTACAGTCTAAATCTACTGGGACATTAGGTTCACTCTGCTTCTCCAGCCGATACTGAGGACCTGAAACATAAAGTAACTTGTAAAATCATCTGTTTTCTAACAAAGTGATGGCTTATCACGTTCAACTACCGCAAGATTACTCACACCCTAGAAGTAAGGCAGGTAGACACTTATGTTTCAAAGTTCTTTTCCAAAGGAAAGGGCCCTATTGTGAGAAAGGGCAGGCTGGTGTGCAAGGAGACAAAATACTCCAGATGTGCTGGGCTGTCTGGCAGCACTACCTGCTTTGCTGCCAACCAAATTCTAACCAAAACTTCTGCACTATTCCTATGCTAACTGAGCTTGTATTAAATACATTGCCCATGCTGCAAGAGAAGGGCACCGCCTGTTTTAAGAAACTCCTATCCAGATCTCAGTGTGAATCTATGCTGTATTTCTCGGGCATTTTTCCTGATGCGACAAGCACAATGTGTGCTCCCAGCTGCTCTGCCCTCTCTGTGACTCTGGTACAGAACACCCATCCCCAGTTGCTGCCTGGTTGCTGTCTGCCCGAGCACGGTGCAGCTCTGCGCCCCAGGCAGTGGCACGGCTGCTTTGTGGCTGCTTGGCACAGCTCAGTGTGTGACTTCCAGCTCAGCACCAAAGCCCGCTTCTCTTGTGGGGCTCAGCCAAACAGACACAATTAGAAAACACACGGAAAGCCCGTTACACAGCTCAGAGATGTCTGCACAGAGCATTGCGAAATATCCGGGAAATAGCCCTTCTTTTGCAACTTCCTTCAAGAATTGCATTTTGTTGTAAAAATCAGCTCCACCCAATTTGGCTATTTCTATCTCTGCCAACAGAAGGCTTTTCAGAAGGCTGCGCTGCCGATGAGCATGAAGGATTTCCCTCCATAACCAGGAACCCAGGCTGCCTGAAGGGAAGGATCTGGTGTCCCAGCAGCTGGATGGCTGCAGTGAGCAGGAAGGGTCTTCAGTGGGGGAATTTGATCTTTTTGTGGAATCTGTATACTGCTAACATTACAGCTGCTGAAGATAAAATCTATTTCATGCAACTGAATCAAACATGAACACGTAATGATGCTGTTGCTTAAAAAGAGTTATTTTCAGACACATTTCCTGTCATCATAGGTCTTCTTTAAGACTCAGGTGTCAGTTTCTTTCCTCTCAAACCACACCACTGAAGGAGATAGTGCTGACACCACTCCAAGACCTGGCAGGGAGAAGCCCCATCATGCTGGGGCACGGGCTCTGTCCTCACTGCAGCCCACAGACAGTGCACTCCCTGCCAGCCCCTGAGCTGCGTGCCCGGCTGGGAGCTCTGCCCTGCTCTCCTGTCTGTGGGCAGCAGCATAGCAATGGGCACAGCAAAGCGGTTGCCGCGAACGCCCCGAGAGCCGAATCCTTGCAAACTATAAACAGTTCAAGGAGTGTTTCCAATTGCTGAAGCAAAGTTCTGATTCAATGTTACTGTAAATCAGATCGAGCTGTGTCCAACCTTAAACTCTGCTCCTGATGTTGGGGAAAAGGCGGCAGCTGGAGGGGACTGCAGCAACCCGCTGGCCCGAGGCTGGTTAGGCTGAACAATGATACTGAGCACCTTTACACTGCTCCTTATATAACAAAATAAATGGAATTGAAATAATGAAATAAATCTACTCCCTCTTTATGAGCATTTAAAATATTTCTGAATACTTTTCTGACTTTGAATTATGACAGTAAGCAATGAAATATTTAAAACATATAAGAAAATTAAGTATCTTAGCCTCCGATGGCATGCCTAAGAAATGAAATTTGTTAGCCAATTAATTTTAAATTTACTACAGCAGACGTTCAATTACAGCTTCCCATCTTGTCTCCCCAAAGCTGCGTGCGGAGCATTCAGCTCCCGAACAGAGCACTGCTCCTCTGTGCCACGGAGCTCAGAAACTCAGGCAACTTTCTGTGCGAATAACTCCGTAAAAACAGGAAATACGAAGAAATTCACAAAAAAGTATACATGGATTTTTACAGTACCCACTCTGAAATAATACACAGTACGTGTCTGTGCACATTACGCGGCCTGCACTTCACAGCAGATGGCAACCATCCGGTGGTTCTGTGGGGGAGTTTTACTACCAGACGTCCCTCACGAGTTCAAACGAAGTAACTGTAGCAGAAACATTACATGATTTAACAGCCTCCTGACAGAGCGCGGCTGCGGGAATTCCAACCACAATTCGGGCTGCAGTGCCAAGGCTGGGCTCCGTGGCTCCCTGCTGCCTGGTGCAAAGGCTCCGTGCGGCTGCAGGAGGGCTGGAGGCAGCGGGACCTGCCCTGAGCACCAAGGGAACGGCTATGAGCTGCTGCTCCAGTCCTGGAAAAGCCAAGTCCTGCCTCTGCAGAGGAAGGACAGGCCCAAGCGTCTGTCTGAAAGAAGCCACAAAACGGTGAGAGAAAAATCCCCCAAGCCCCAGGGGCAGCCGGAGGCCCAGCAGCCTGGGCAGCTCGCTCCTGTGCTGCGCGCGCCGCGCCCCGGCTGCCACCGCCCGGCTCTGCGACTGACGGCGTCCCCACGCGGCGGCCCTGCTGCCCTACCCGCCGCTCGACCCCTGCACCCCTGCCGGCTGCTCGCAGGCACCTACTGCACCTTACTGTTTCAAGATACCCCTGACAACAGAGGAAGGCTTATTGGGAATTAAGAACGGACAAGAAAAATTGCAATACCACATCTGTAGTGCTATTTTCCTACAGCACCACACCAACGCACCCCAGGAAGAATCGCACAGCATAATCAAATTAAGCATCTCTCTTACAAAAGGGAATGGCCATCCATGTAACAACAAACCAATTCTGTTGCCATTTAAACTGCAAAGCCTTCAGAATGGGGTTTTGAAAGCATGACCCATCAGTTCTAATTTTTAAAACTTATCCTTTCAGTCAAGACTAGAAAAAGGCCCATTCCAACTTTTATCTTCACTACAAAGTGCTGTTATCTTGGGCTGATGTCAGGAGCTCTATCTCTCTTTCTGCTGACAAGCAGAGACTAGAGAGATAAGATTGGGAACGAATCTCACTTCTCTGAGTAAATAAATAATCAATACTCATCTAAATGTAAATGAGAAAGTATCCCCCTCTGATAACAGGGCTCTTATCAAACAGCCAATTTTCTACAGACATTTGGCCTCAACCAAATCACCATCATTCAGCCCCAGCCTAATGGCTAAAAATCGTAACTAAATTGAACCGATCACCAGAGATCAACTAAGTTCAGCCATGGCTACTACAGGTTCAAATGTTTGGAATGCAATTTTTCCCCCATTAACTTTCAATAGCAATGAAGAATACCACGGTCAGGGGTTGAATCTGCACAATAAACAAATACTAACACTTAGAAGGAGAAGGAGGCTTTAAGGAAAACTCCAAACAAAAAGCCATCTCAATCTGCAAACAAGTTAATAAGATAAAACGAGGATCACAGAAAGACTTACCGTGATATTTGATTTTGTGGAGTCGTCAAACCTAATGTTTTCTAAACACACCAGTAGAAAAGAAAGAAAGAAAGAAACAAACAAAAAAACCCCACCCAAACGGCTTAAAACAGAACCGACATTTCTAGCGTTAGTCTGCAACAAAACACATCGTTACATCCTGCTTAGCCCTTATCTTCACCTGGCTCCCATGAGCTCCTGAATTCTCACAAAAGCCCCAGCTCCAGCTATGTACTTTTGTCAGCTGCTTCCGCTCCCTTTATTGTCCAGGCATTTGTTCAAAACACTTTTGAATTTCTGATTTCCACAACATTGACTCCCATAATTTATTGCACTGTGTGAGAAAAAGAATTCCCTTTTGTCCCAGAACATTATTGTCTGCCTACTGCTTTTGGTGCCATGCAGTTCTTGTTTTATGAACAACAGTGATAAAACCCTCCCAATTTACCCCATGTACCGTCTCTACCCACACACTTCATAGTCTTCCCTTGTGCCCAGTCATCTCAGTTTCCAAACTGGCAAAAGATCTCTGCTCAGAAACGACTCCATTTCATGTCGGATCCATTTTTGCATTCACACACTTCTGCATCTTTGTTGCTATTACCATTATCCTTTTTAAGATATTATCCTTTTTAAGATAAAATATAACAATCAAGATGTGGGCACTCCGTGATTTATGTGCGTGGGCCCAGTAACACTTTCTGGTTTGTTCTCTCCTCCTTTCCTAATTTCTAATATTCTATTTGTCTTCCTGACTGCTCCTAAGCACGGAGCCGAAGTGTTCAGAGAACGATCCATGACGACTCCAAGATACTTTTCTTGACTGATGGAAAGTAATTAGAGCCCATCATTGTATACGTATAGTTACGGTTGCTTTTCACCACGTATATTATTTTGCACTCATTGACACTGAATTCCCTCTCTCGTTTTATTGTCCTGTCACTCAGCATTGTGAGATACCTCTGCAGCGCTTCACAGACAGCTTTTATTTGCACTATTCTTGCTTCTTTTGTATCAACAGCACATTTTGTCACATCAGCATTCACATCCTTTTCCACGCTGCACATTAACTGAACAATGCAGGTTCTACCAGTTCCAGTGGAACTCCACCAGTAACCTAGTTACTAATAATGGAGAGCCATTATTCCTATTCTTTGTTTCCTGTCTTTTAATCAATTATTAATCCATGTGAGGATCCTCCTTCTCATCCCATGACAGCTTAATTGCTTTATGAGCCTTTGTCAAATCTTTTTGGAAATCTAAGCGTGCTGTATAAAACGCATCATCCTTATTCAGAGGGTCTCTGGTGTCAGGGGCTGCTCACATGTTTGTGAGGCACAACCTCCCCTAAAAAGCTGCACTGATTTCTTCCTCGGTGTACTGCATCTGTCCACGTCACCTTTTAATTTCCTTCTTTGCTAAAACGTTACGTAGCTAAAAGGAAGCTGAGGAATGCAGGTCTCTCCTCACACTCTTCCAAAGAACGGCTGCCATACAACTCCCCAAGCAAGGCAGCAAGAGTGTTATGTCACAGCCCATTTAACACTGCAGCACACTCGTAGGCGAGCTCTCCCCATGCTGTCCATGA